ACTAGACCCTGTGTCAACAAATCAAATGAAGGGAGGTTTGGAAGTTTGACATAATATGTAAACAGAGCTGTACCAGGGCAGATGGTAAGAAAATACTTTCTTCATCCTTTTTGAAAGAGAATGGGAAAATCCAGTGTGAAATTACTTTAACCTAATTTTATTTTGGTTTTCTTTTGCATTGCCTGGAAACAATGTATCCAATATAATGCTGGTTTTGTATAGTGTTTGTATAATAACTTTCCTGACCAATACACACCAGGTAGGGCCTGGGTTGTCACGGTTGTCACATAAGACCTAAAACTTTCCTGACTGTGTATTCAAGTTTCACATTTTACAATATAACTATAATCACCAAGATTATTAATCAAATCTGACTGGGATATGTCATATGTTTTTCTTATTTTTACCTCTCTGGTTTCTTGAATGTATATGTTTGCTCTGGTGTATGAAATACAGGTTTGTTGGTAGGTATTTGGGAATGTTCTGCTGCTGAGTTTTATATCTATAATAATTTGTGAAATAAAATACAAAAGGTTCCTTTTTGTAGCATATTTAGTTATCCCTTAATTCTTGTACATGCAATGGCCCATGGAACTTTTATTATGCTTGATTTTCTTCACAAATTAGATAGCTTACATTTTAAGGGTGAATTTAAAGACCAAGGAGTATATTAGTGGGTATATTTAAAAATACTATTTCTTGTTGTATATCCATGACTAATATAAGCTTTAAGTGCAGATGCCTATCATGTGGATTTTATTTTATTTTTACATTCCTTTTTGTCTGTATTTGCATTTTCTCAGTAATGTGACCAGATATCTCAAACAATATATTTCTGTTTTGAGTTTTTAGTTAAATAAAACTTAGTTACTGACATTTTTTGCTTTGAGATAGAGCTTTGTAAAGCTTTTGCAGTTTGTAAAACATTAATAAAGCTGATTCATCTACTTCTGTCAGAGAACTGGAGTAACATATTTGAAATGACACTGTGCTGAGAGCTGCTTAAATTCATGCCACTGCATGACAGTGTGTTATCAGATATGGCAAGCACTTCATTACAGTGTCTTCCAGATTTGAACCTATTTTTAGCTGAGGCTTTAAGGTGCCTGAGAAAAAGCCTCTGCTAGAATGAATTGGTAGACAATTGTTTATATTTATGGTGCAGGAAAAAGATGATAAATTCCAGATAATGACAAGAAGTAGAAATATGCAAAGATCAATTATGATCTGGAAACTTTTGGCACTTTGGAGCATTCCTTTGGCTTGGCATCTGAGTCTGCTTACTGTGAAGCCAAGAATGTATGCCTTCAAATTTAAATGTTGTGCTGCCTTTCAGATTGTAGTCCATTTGTCTTCTGTTGTAATATTATTCACCAGTTACTGAAAAATTCCTTGGAGTTACTGTTACTCTGGTTATCGTTTCTGTTTATGCTGTGAAAACTCTGTTGATATTCCCAAATTCTTGCAAAGTGATAGAATCCTTTGAAGTTTTTGCATCTTCCCCTAAATACGGCAATTTGTTTAGTGGTATTTTACCCTTCTGTTTTGTTTTACAGTCTTGAAGATTGATGTTCAAATTTCTCTCTTTATCTCCTACATTATTTTGAATTTTTTCTTGTCCTTGGTGTCAAGATTCTATTAAGCCTTCAAACTTGACTAACTTTTGCTTGCCAGCAAATAATTCCCAAGATTTGTAGTCCTTCTGAATGTCCTTTGGTAGCCCCAAAATATAATACAGTCTGAAAGAGCTCAGAGTCTTTGCTTTTAAAATAGTCACAGTTTACTTCCCTTTCATACTTTGTAAAAAGATGTTTCGTAAGTTTGAGTGTGGTTGGTGTCATGTGTCAGTACACAGTATCACAGTTAGCTGTCTGTCTGACCAGACCAGGGCTTACAAAAAACAGTTTCAGAAATAGAAATACCCAGATATCAAACTATGTTCTGCTTATCTTCTTCCTTGCTCACTCTCTTTGCTTGCTGAAAGTCTCTGCTTCTGCTGTTCCCACATTTAATGTTACTTTAATGCTGTTCGGACATTATTTTAAAAGAAAATTCTCAGCTTGCTTTCACCTACTGTGATATGTTTTTTCCATGGTTTCACACGGTCTGATGTAGACTTGCTCCAAAGGATTTCTAAGTTGCTATGTCACTTGACACTTGCTCTTGCAGTCCTCTGCTGCTTTCTTTGCTTTTGTTTTCAGCCTGTGATCTTGTTTTACTCACCATGCACAGGAGATGGTGTGACATGGGTTGACATGTGGGGAGATAACTTAACCTTTAAGACAAAAATCTATACCAACCTCACCATCTGTGAGTGCTCCATGCAAAAAGGAGCAAACTTTCACCCCAAGTAAGCAAACCCCAGCACAAAGAATCTGCTGCTAACAAGAGGAATATAATGGAACTAGAGGAGGAGGTCGGACACATGTGTGAAAGTGTTTACGTGACAAAATAAATTAGATAAACCATAACAAGGCAAGCCCAGCAGGAAATCACAGACGCTGTATTTACTTCTTGTCTCTGTCTGGTGTTAGTGGAGGAAGGTGGCCTCTAACTGCTACGGCAGAGGCACGAAACTCAAATTACAAATTCGTGCCGTATGTTTTCTAACGCTCAAATATAAAACTTCAACAAATTTGGGTGTGGAGGTTTTACTGCTTAATGAAAGGCTGTCATGGAGACCATCAGGTTTCCAGCACAAGTGAATCACGAGGGTGTGCTCAGTGAGCTGATGAGGGGAATGCAGGTGTTTGGAACAATGGCCCTTTGCTTGCTCTGCTTTGGTGATGTGATTTACATTTTGTGCAACAACTTTCCTAGATCTCTCTTGAGAGCTTCTCTATGCCAGCAGTTGCACTGAGTGCCTTTTCACAATAGCACATTTCATGTGTTTGGTGTGGCTGGTTCAGTAAGCATATTTGCTCCTTTTTGTAAGATAAAACCGTCTGGTCCTTCCAATCAGCTGTGCAGATACTATCCTCAGCTAGCATCTCTGTCTTTTGTGTAGGGGCCAGAATGAAATGAAACTGCAGGGAGAAAAATGTCAAGACAAACTATTTTTTGTTTCTATTTAACTTTCTTCTCTAAATCTCTCTTTTCTCCCATTTCATACTCTCTCTCTCAACTCTTCCCTGCTTCATTTTAATTTCTTGTTCCCAGGTGTCACAGTAGAAGACATGACTGTATTGTCCTTCAGAAACAAAAAAAGGAGGAAGAGGATGGTATAACTTTTGCATGCTATATGTATATAACTTATATATATATATATGTACAAAAATTTTTAGTTTTTCACTTTTCCTTTTCCTGAGCAGCAGAAAACAAAAAGGTAATGTATGAACTACATAGATACAGAAGATAGAGTGGGTTTTCAGTAGTTTGTTACCATGTTTGTGTTTAATACACACAGTGGCTACTGGGATACTCTCTTGCTCATGAGGTAGGGGCTTAATGGCCAGTTCTCACTTTTGCTCTGCCCCGATTCAGATCCACATTTTCCCTGGTGTCAGTGCACTCTCTGGGTTTTGGCATTCATTTCTTTGTGCTGTTTTGGCATAATTCCTATGTATTAAGTGTTAGAGCTAACAATATATTGATTATGATTAATTACTTACTGGTGTATTTTTTATTTCTAGTGAACATGATGGATAGTTACATGGTAATGCTGTGACAGAGAATATGAGGCAGTATGGTGCTGTGTTGAAATAATGTCCTGAAACTATGCAAACACCTGCTTCCTTCTAATTATGAAAAAAGCATGAGTTGACAAAAAAAAAAAGTCTAGTGCATTTGGATATTTAACTGTTCTAGTAAGAAAAATTAGACTAAAATACGAGGAGAAACCTATAAATTGCTGAGCATCAAAGGACCCAGCACAACTATAATTTCAGGCTTTCACCTGGCCCTTTGCAAGTTCTGTCCTTACCAGAGATGAGTTGAGGCAGGGAAAGGCTGAGGGGAGAGAAGAAAGCTGTGTCAGGGCTGTGGAAGGGCAAGGATTGAGAGAGCTCTGCCCTGTGGTGGCTCTGTGCTGAGTGACATGGGGACGTGAGCAAAGGAGAAACATCAGGAGGACCCAGTATTTATTTGGAATTCAAATTTATTTTCTCTTCTCAGCCCTCATTATAGTATATTCATTTGGATAGCTACTGCTTGCTTGGGACTGAAGAAGCAGTTTCTGTTTGTTATACACAAATCCCTGCATGAATTATCTCAGTCTGAACAGAAATTAATGATATCTCTTGTTCTTCAAAGTCTCAGACAAACTGTATATCTTAATACTGTGAGTCATCTGATATCCAATTAAAAATAGAGAATAATTTCAGAAAGCTAGTTCAGCTGAAGGATACAATTTTTCATGTTTTATATTCTCTTTTTTAGGTTGAGAATAGTAGTTTAAAATAATCCTTTTTTGGGAAAAGGGTTACTAATTTATTAGTAAAACAACTAATTTATTAGTTTCTGTGCCTAAGAGGTGTTCTCTATTACATGTTGTGAAGGAAATTCCTACATCTTTGCATAACATTTATTTAGGATCACTTATGCAGGAGGAAAATTTTAGAGCACTAGAGTTACAGGAAGGATTCAGAGGACTGAAAGTAAAGAAACTAGGCTCATTTACTGAATTTTATATCTTAGGACTGGCTTGGGAATTGGAAGATAGGTTTTGTCATGGGTGGAGAAACCTCCACTCTGTCAGTGAATTAAGATAACAAGGTTCACACATCTTGCCTCTGAAAGAACTGGATGCAGATTAAATTTGGCTTTCTAATACTTCAGACTCTATTAATAAAGCCTGTGTTATGCTTTACATGGCTGTAAGAAAAGAGTTTGTGTATTCTACATGGATGGGAAATTCATCTCATGGAAGTGCTCCAGTCAATAAAGCCATCAGGATAAACCAATTAGCACATCAAGACCTAATGAGCCACATGACCAAACCAATTATGAAGTCATTAATTAGTAAGGATTAGACTAAGAGGTGACAAAGTGTTTTTCACCTGCTTCTCACAAAGCCCCTTGCAAGTTATCATCCCTTTTCCTCAGGGAGACACTGATGTGCTGCAGGTCAGTCCCATGGAATGGGAAATGGAGCACGGCTCTTCTGGGGCCCAGTCCTGTGCCCTGGGCAGGAATAGCCCAATTACACTGACTGACCTTTTCTAGGATCATTACTAAAACTAACATTATGGATTGATGCTGAAAAACATTTTGACTTCATAAGCCAATTCCATTTCAAAATCTTTTTTTTACCATCAATAATGTTTGGTTTCCAATTACTGTGAAATTACTCCTCAGCCTTGGTCAGGATATTTTGCAGTGGAAAAATGATCTCTCATTTATTTCAGAGGACTTTCAAGATGTCACAAGTTGACATGGAAAACCCAGATGTTTTTAATTCTGAAAATTGAGAAATAGATTTTGAACAGGAAAGTTATCTTGTTTGGTGTGCATCCTCAGGAAGAAGGACAGCAGAACATTCCCCAGTTCTCTGCCAGGCTGTCATTTATATAAAAATATGAGCGGAAACAGTTTTGGGGCATCTGTGCAGAGCCTTAGGAAGATCTTGAAGAAATCAGAAGGAAATAACCTCCATAACTCTTGCATTTTGATCAACTATTAAATCCTCTATCAGACCTCTCAGAGTAAATCAGATTATTTACATTCTTCAAACCCTTTCTTAAATAGACATAAGAGGAATTACAAATATAACTGACCAAAATACAATCTCAAAAATTAACACAGTAGTCAGGAAATGCTAATTTTAATTTTTGCAAAGATATATTTTAATTTTTTTTTACCACACTCTGTGCTGTGACATACTTGCGTGCCATGTTCAGCAAACAACATTCTGGGATTTCAACAAAGTGTGGAGGAGAGCATTGAACCTTCGACTTTGGTGGAAGTTGGTGTAATGGTACACCTGGGATCTGAAGCAGAAAACTTCCCTGGAGGACAGCATGTGTATTGCAACCAGGTATGTGATATTTCCCTCAAAAATTTGAGTGGGAATCTGCTATTTATGACTACATAAAGGTGTGGCAAAGGGTGTGAGGGACCGAGAGTAAACAAACATATTGCCATGAACTCTGACCTTAGGATCCTGATGGCATGGGTTTAATCTGAATTTTATGTGGGAATATTATCTCTTTTGGGTGATGTTGATGAACCTGAATTTTAGAAAGAACATATGTGATTTTCCTGTTTTCTAACATACGGATGTCAAGTAAATTCATAAGCCAGTGTTATTTGGGTAGGGAATTTCCTTTTAACCTGAAAATATTTTTAGAAATCCTCTTGAAAGGCATGATTGAAAGTGGTGGCAGTATATTATCAGATGATAATTTTATTTCACAATGACATTTTATCCTTGGTCGAGGGAAGGCCCTTTGGATTTCCTCCAGTACTCTGTGGTTTCCTTTTAATTCTGAAGGGCTCGAGAGTCACATCAAAGCCATAACATATGACTGTAATTTGCTATAATTAAGCAGGCCTTCTGTATGTTCAGTGGGCAAATAGTTGGCATGATCGAGATGCTACTGTTCCTGTCTCTAAGAGAGCATGAGCTCTGGGCTGCACTCTGGCATGCAAGTTAATCAGGAGTTTCAGCTGATAAGGCATGGCTGGGAGTGAGGGAATGTTTTTGACTGGCTGAAGTGAGAGGTGCATGCCAGGGGCTGCACAGGGAGTGCTCCAGCCCCCTCCCCCAGGTGAGTGTGGATCTGCTGGGAGGCTCAGTCCTGCCTCACAGTCACATAGCTTCTTGTTTCTGTGTGCTTCATTTTCCGTTCTGGTCACACAAGTCAAGAGTCATGGAGTTGCTCTTTCTCCATTTTGGCTGTGATTGTTTCTGCTTCATCTTGGGTGCAGCTGAGGCTTTTCCTGTGCCTGGTTCTGCTGCTCAGGTGCTTCAGTGGAGGTTTGCTGGAGCCTGGGAAGGGACGGTGCTGCTGACATCCCCTCTGGACTTTGTTTTGGCAGCAATATGTGATGAGTTTCTAAAGAAAGCTTCCAAACTTCTGAACACCAAACCTCAGAGAGACAGAATGGAGCATGGAAAAATCAACCAGTTTAAAACTTTTAATGAGCCAGGAAACTATGACACAAAAGAACAAAAGTAGTTTGCCAAAAATGAAAGGTGAAAGTAAAGTTCTCTTTTTCATCTTATGTTCTCAGTGCAAGCTTTTTTGTTGTTGTTGTTGCAGGAGAGCTGCATTTCTGTAGAGAAATCCAATTTTCAGCCCATATCTTTAATCAGATTGTCTATAACACCATTGAATTTCCCAATTGCTGATGATTCTTTTTCTTTCAGCTCACATTTAGGTCTTCAATAGATTTTTTTTTTTTTCTCCATAAGTAAAAATTCTCACTGGCAATTCCTGAAAAAAGTTGCTCTTATACTGACATGTAAATTATCCTTAGCTATCTGCTTTAGAACTCAGTATTTCTTGCTGATAAATATTCCAGTGTTTTCTGCTTCGAGACTTGTAGGCATTGTCCTGTGAAGAAGTGAATTTCACATTATTGCTCTTTGTTGTGCTCATCAGTGAAAGTACCAAGACTGACATAATTGAACCAGAATTGTCCAGGCCCTTTCCTTACCATTCCCCTGTAAATTTTAAATTCTTGAACCACTCCTGGAATTGTTGCACACATCCTAGTGCTCAGCTAAGAAAGAAGGGTATTTTGTGTTTTGGTGTTTTCAACCCCAACGAAGTCCAAGGAATTTGAGATGTACCCTTTAGATATTTTGCTGTTTTATTAAAACAAACAAATAAAAGGAAAAAAAGGAAAAAGAAGTTAACTCAGATAACCTGGGCAGTTCTTTCTTCCAGGTATGTGGAAAGGGAAAAAGTAAAACATTCAAATGTCTGTTTGAAAATGCTGGAGAAGGCAGGAATTTATGTATATAAAGCCTGTGCTATCACGTGCCTTGAAAAGCTCACTTCACCATTTTAAGTAACACTTGAGTAACACTTCAACAAAATATTTTCCAGCTGTTATTTCTGTCTCTTCACTTCAAAATGTTATTTCTAGCAATATTATTCAACAATTCTGTTGTGTGCTGTGAAAACCTCTTATGTTCTGCTTCTGCAGCTTCTCATTTTACCTACTGTTTTTGCTTTTTCTAGGGAATCAGGAAATAATGTAGGTAGGAAGAGACCTCAGGAAATTGCTTAATCCAAGCCATCAGTCTAAGTCGGTCTAACTTTAGATCTGGTTGCTTAGGGTCTTGCAGAGTCAATTTCTGATTGTCCTCAGGGATGGAAATTGTAACATCACTGTAAAATGCTCTTGGATTTCTGTGGTGCAGAGCTTGGGCTGAATGTACTTCAGGAGGAAAACCAGTCTAATGCTCAGCATTCAAGTGGCTACCAAAGCTGGGATTTCTGTGATGAATCAGTGGCTTAGGAAAGACCTCAATAAGAAATTGTATTTTAAAAGCTGTGTGGCCTCAAATGGCATGATGAAAAAGTAGCACTCAGGACTCAAGTGATGTTTTCCTGTAAAGAAACAATCAGTACTGAATAATTTAATCACTAATAACTATCTCATCAGTGTTGCTGCTGTGTAGTCCACTAACTCCAGATTATTCTGAAAAGCCAGTTTTGGTGTACATCTCTGTAAAAGTGTTCTATTTCATGTTTGAACTCTGGGGACTTTGGTTTCAATGGGATATTGTGGTAATTTTGAAGAGCATTTTAATATGCCCATCGTTACTGATAGAAATGAACCTCAAAAATGAGGTTAAACGGATTGAATAGGAGGACACTGCCCTATAATGCTGTAAGATTAAAGTACTAGGATGTGCTTTTTTTCTTTATTTTTGGTAGAATGTATACTGGTTGTGCACATCTGGAAAGATCTCAATGCAGTTATCTATTCAGGGTTTATTTCTGCTAGCTATGTTTATACATCTGAAATTGTTTTAAGACAAATTTTAGCTCTATAAATACTAGTGTATTAGATGTATACAGGATATTTGATTTAATAAATCTATTTCTACTAAGTTACTCTAAATTTCCATTAATGTATGCAGTTCCACTAAACTACTCTAATATATCTTTTATAGAAGAACTAGGCAAATGATAGCACCTTAGAAATGTTGTTTTGCTTCTTCTATGCTGCCATAAAGCAAGAGACAGCAAAACTACTTCAGACACAGAATCTAATTAAAAAAAAAATTAATAATATATATATTTGGTGATATCTTTGTTCTTTCAAAGTCACAGAATATATCTGAGGTGATGTTTCAAAGCTAAAACACAAATTTTGCTTTCTCATGTCTGTTTTGGAATTAGTTGTTTTCAGATGCTCTTTTTTAGCAGCGGGGAGGGTTCTATGGAAACAAACTTATTTCTTGATATTTTTCCTCCTGGGAGAGCTTTACATCATCAGGGTACCAGTGTGGGGTGGGACTGAACATCTAATATCAGGAAACCTTTCCATTTTGCTGTGACCTGTAGTGTGGGAAATGTGTAGTCATATCTGTTTCTTAATTTCTCTGTCCTGTTGGCTTCCTCCCAAACCAGATTTAGGAAGAGCAGATTCATCTGGAAATGTACTTTTTCTCGTTGTTCTTGTTTTTTGCCAAATTTTCAATTAAAAGTGTTCAGCAAGCCAAGAAACCTGCCTTCCTTCTCCTCTCCCCCTCCTTTTCTTACTATTTATTACGTTTTGCTATTTGCGATATTTTTGTACTTATATAGCCTCACTTTATGCATACACACATAAATATTTGAGAATATTTTCCATGTAAAGGCTTGATAGGAATAGTTCATAATTTTTAGAGAACGGAGAGAGATGCCAAAGCTCCTCTAATAGGACAGCTATGGAGTTTATGCAAGAATGAGATTCCAGTCCTGAAGAGCAGAGCAGGCCTTTAAATGTGGATCTCTTCCACTCTATATGAACAAACTACCATGTGGAATGTATAAATCTGTCTTATCAGAAATCTCTGGCTTTTAGGAGAAAGGATTTGACGTTAATAAATGTCAAACCCTTAAAATCCATAGTGAATGGCACTCTTGTCACTTTCCAGCTGTACTTATTTTTCTCTTCTTTTTCCCCCATAATTTTTAGGCTCTTCCTAGGAAAAAGCTTCCTTGAGGTAATTCAGTTTCATAGTGCTGTTAAGAGCACTGCTTTAAAACCCAAAGCATGTAATAACTGCCTCAGTAACAGCCTGAGACTGGTGACTTTCACTGTTAAATGAGCAAAGAAAAATGGATTTTTCACACACAAAAGAAAGCTGCATAAGTTAGACCCTATCTGGTGAAAGACTCAATTTGATCACTGAAAAGCTATTCAGGTATTCTCTGTTCATTTACTTGTTAGTTTTTGAGGTAGAATTAAGTCATATCAGCCATTGTGCTTCCTGTAGGAACCAGAGCATTTCCAAAGAAAAGGACCTGAATGCGAATCTGACCTGTGGCCCTTCTTAAAGTGTTTAAATGAGAAAAAAGAAACCATGAACCCCTCTGTCATCTTGAAAATGTTTAGAACTGAGATGTGCTCATGAAGTCCTTTCCCTCTGCACCTTGAGGAGAAAGGGTGAATGGGCTCTTTGTGTTATCTCTGAGTGAGAACCTGATAGAATATAGTATAGTGATAAAGTGTATACTGAGCAGGGAGGAGGGGTGATTTTTCTACCACGTGTGATGTGAGACACATTGGTTAACATCAGGGAACTTGCCACAAAAAGTAAAACTAGAAAAATGAAGGTAAAAAGGAAAATGAGCTTGCTGGGACTGGCATTGTAACACTCACTGCTAAGTGCACAAAGGAAAAGCATTGCCTAAAACACCCCTTGCAAGTGAGGAATTGATGCTCTACTTGAACAGTCTTCCAAAACTTGGCTTATGTGAGGGGTTAGGGCAAAGAAAGTGCTTTTGACAAAATTTCAACTTACTTGTTTTATGTAGAAATAAATAAAGAAGGGAACTAAAGTAATACTTCCCACCCAGAATTAGAGTT